GATGTGCCACCTGGTGAGAAGCCTCCCTGCAGTCCCCGTCCCTTAGTCCCCGATGGTGTCACCTATGCTGCCCCATGGATGGCCTGTGCTAGCCTCTGAACCAGGTGGCACTGTGTGAGCCTGTTGGCAGGGGTGCCCAGCAGGACTGACATCCTGCAGGCGATTTTTGATGCCACGGGACTACTTTTGGGAAAAGTGGCATTTCAGAGCCCATCGTGTACAGACCACCACTGTGCCGGCGTTAAGCACCAAAAACAAGCCACAGGCAGGAGCAGTTTTGGTTTTTCAAGCACAGGCATTCTTCATTGTTGCTCTTGGTTAAATAACTTTGCTCACAAAAATGCGACATGGAAACAGCTTCATAGTCATTTGTTGACTTATAAACTCCATAAGTTACCTGTCTGATATTCTCAGAAATAATATAAAACTCCTTGCCTCATGTAATATCCTTCTGTTTTTTTGTTTTGTTTTGTTTTGTTTTCTGTTTTTTGTATCAGGGATTGAATTCTAGACCTTCTACTTGCAAAGCAGGCAGCGGCACCACTGAGTATAATATCCTTCTAAAATGAATTTGCTGGAAAGATCCTCTCCGTAACTTTCTTGCTGAAAGGGGAATAGGCAAAGTATTTTAAAATATTTTCTCTCTAGCTATTTTTATCACTACTTAGATACTTATACCGCATTTTCTTGGTCTGACACTAAATTAGCTAATTTCCACATTAGAAAAGAAAGCTTTCTTTTATTCACGGTGTGAAGAAAGGTTTTCCCAAACTTTTATCAAGAGTAAATTTAAGAAACATATCAAATATTTATCCAGGGTTTCTCTCTATGACTTGGCCTTAATAATGAGCCCTAAGCTATGTGTGATGGTCATGCCTGCAATCCCAGGACTCTAGAGGCTTACACAGGAGGATTGCTGAGTTCAAGACCAGCCTGAACTACTGAGTGAGAACCTGTCTCAAATAAATAAAAATAAAAGAGTCCTAAATTCTGTTAAATTACTTAATAAATTCATAGCACTTTTTAAAAATTTTTCTTTGTGTGTGTGTGTGTGTGTGTGTGTGGTACTGGGATTGAACTCAGAGCCTTTACACAGAGCTACACCCCTAGAACGTTTATTTATTTATTTATTTATTTATTACTGAGTGAGAACCTGTCTCAAATAAATAAAAATAAAAGAGTCCTAAATTCTGTTAAATTACTTAATAAATTCATAGCACTTTTTAAAAATTTTTCTTTGTGTGTGTGTGTGTGTGTGTGTGTGGTACTGGGATTGAACTCAGAGCCTTTACACAGAGCTACACCCCTAGAACGTTTATTTATTTATTTATTTATTTATTTTTAAATTGCCACAGCTGGGCTTGAACTTGCAATCCCCCTGCCTCAACTTCCCAAGTATCTGTAGATGTGTGCTACCACACCTGTGTCTTCAGGCGATTCCTTCACTATTCTTTTTTTTTCTTTTTGCATATAAATTTGTGAATGAGTGGATCAATTCCATTTTCTATTGCTATCACAAAATGCTAGAAGCTAGGTCATGTATAAAGAAAAGATGTTTACTTAGCTTGCAATCCTCTAGGTCAGAGGTCTCAGGGTGAGTGGCATCATGATGGTGGGGGCGTGTGACAGTGAAAAATTATGTAGTCAGACTGGAAACCAGAGAGTAGACTCATCTCACTTTTTGTAACAATGTACTTTTTTTCAATTTTTATTAGTACATGTTTGCAGTACATAATGATTATATTCCTCATGGGAAGTTGGTACATTTACACAACACATCTTGGTTCTTTTTCAGCTTCTTCCCCTCCTTTCCTTCTCCCATCTAGTCCTCTCTTGGGCCCCCTCCCATTTGCAAAAGATCTGTCTCCCTATTCCTCTGATCTCTTATTTTGTTCTTTATATTTTGGCTTTTTTATATAAGAGAAACCATGCAGCATTTAAGCTTGTATGTCAGATTTATTTTACTTAACATTAAAGTCTCAAGGAGCATCCATTTTCCTATGAAAGACTCAAGTTTATCCTTCTTTATGGCAGAGTAGCACTCCACAATTTCTTTATCCATTCATTTGTATAGGCTGCTACAAAGGTTTAGTTATTGTGAATTGTGCTGTTGTAAACATGGGTATTCACGTGTCATTGTTATCCAATGTCTTTAATTCTTTCTGGAAGATGCCTAGAAGGGGAATTGCTGGGTGGAATAGAGTAATAACAGTGCACTTTTCTGAGAACTCACTCACCCCATGAGACCAGCATTAATCCCTTCTGAGAGTGAAGCTTCAGTGATTTAAACACCTTCCCTGGCCCTCACCTGTGAAAGGCTCTACCATCTCAGCATCAACATGCTGAGAACAAACGTTCCAGCACATGAACCTCTGAGGATTTTTTTTTCCCTCTGAGGATTTTGATTAAAATCTATTGTGCCTTTTTGCAGATCAGGGATAGAGCAGAGCTTAAAATTCAGGCAACTCAGGCCTTCAGACCAGTGCCAGATTCTATACCAAGGATTTGAGGACAATTGGGAACAGATAAAATCAAGGCCTGCCTGTCTGAATCCTCGTAAGGCTTATCTGTGTCCCCTTCCTTACATCACTGATACAGTGTCAGATGATTTTACCTAAGGCCATGGTGGCCCTTAAAACTTTACAAGGAAAAAAAAAGCTTAATTTCCCCCCATAATACCCTAACGCTGAGGTGTACACTGGGGAAGGCAGCATTTAATCCCTGAATCCTGTTGACTTCCTTTTCTTATGACGTATCACACGTTTTACAAATGCTAAACCCAGAAACCCCCAAAAGAATCAGATTCTTCTAGCCAGATTGTCTTGAAGTTATTAGTGGTTAATTCTGGGACAATGAACAAGTTGCATGAATATTCAACATCAAACTAAGCGCTGCCAGACTGTGACCCAGTGAATCTCTCTTGTTTATGTGGCTGCTGAAGTCAAGTGCGAGGAGAATGACTGCCAGCTCATGCCTATTCCTCAGAGACAGCCTGGGTGTGTGGAAGCCAAGAAAGGAGTTTCACAGGCAGAAAGCGTCTGGAAGTGCTGCCTGCGGAGGGCTTGAGATGTGGTCATTGACCCTGCAGGGTCTGTTTCTGTGCCAGAGAATGAAGTTTCTGGGGCCTAGAAAATGAAGTGCCTCAGCTGCTCTAAGCTGATGGCAGAGAAATCAGGGCAGCCCGGCGTGGTGGCACAAACCTGTAGTCCCAGCACTTGGGAGGCTGAGGCAGGATGACTGCTGTAAGTTCGAGCCGAGCCTAGGTTACATACTGAGTTCAAGACCAGTCTACACTGCACTGTAAGACCTTTTCTAAAAAAAAAAAAAAAAAAAAAAAACCAAAGATTCCGGGCGCCAAAAGCTAACACCC